CTTGAGCTAAACATTGACGAATATAATTTGGATCACATTTTGGAAATAATTCTTGCAATTGAATAGCATATTCTTCAATTTCTGGCGCAAGCTTTATAGGAGAAATATTCGAACTCGGATTGGGTCCAGCTTGCGGTTGGACTTCAGGAGCTGTAGAAGGTTTTGGAGTCTCATATTTCTCAGCAATACCCATCGGTTTTTTAGAACTTAACATGATACGGTCAACTGGATATCCTTTGCGCTTTAAACTACCTAAAGGCGTGGTCAATAACATTGCCAAATGAGAAATATCTTTCCATTTACACTTCCTAAAAATGTGTTTTCCAAGGTTCGTCGCAATGTCGAGATAGTCTGGCTCACCGGGAGTGACATATAAAGTCCATGAGTTATTAACTCGCGTATCTTTAAGAATATATGAATATATTGGTTCAACTTTTGTTTGATTATTAGTTATAAGCTCATAAGTAGCCTCAATCTGATCGATCTCCATGACTTTTAACTTCTGAACCCAATCGACTGATTGCTTAACTTCAGATCGGTGAATATCATGATAAAATAATTGAGCCCTTTCTCTAATTGTTTTTTGTAATCTCGCAGAACCTGTAGAAGCCATCGGAGTGCCTTTTACTTGTACGCTTGCTCTAACATTAGCGGACAACGAACGACTTCCCAACATCTTTTATTATTTTTTTTTAAAAAAAAGAGTTTATAAATTTTATTAACTATTTTCAATAAAATAATAATGCGTAATAATCGTACCTTATAAAAATTTTCCAAAATCTCTTCCATAGGCGCAGTCAAAGGATTAAAAACATGCTGAAAATTTGTATCATCATTTATAAAAATATCTTTTGCGGGAGCCAAAACATAATGATCAATCTCCTGTCCCTTATAATCAAAATTTTCCTTGTCTGCTGCAATTTCTTTCTTTTTTATGCCAATTAATATAGGGGCGCGACTCATGTCGGCAAGTAATGATCGATTTCTAGAAATATTATTGGAATTGACTGCAATATTACGAAGAACTGAGAGATATTTTTCCACATTATCGCCGACAGAATTCCAAAATTCTTGCGAAGACTTCACGAGAAATTCGGCAAATTCTGCCGGAGATGGCTCAGCTTTAACACCACAACCGAGCAAAAATTTATTTGCTTTTTCTCCAAAATCTACATATGAAAAGAATTCGGAATAGCTAAATCCATAAATCAAAATGTTAGCAAAATTATAACAAGAATAAAGAAAGGAAATTTTTTGAAGTATAAAAATGATA